AAATAGTTTATTATTAAAACATTCAAATATTCTTTACTATTTTTGTTGTTGAATAATAATCATTAAATATTATTTTAAAAATTTATTAGTAATAAAAATAATAAATTATAAAAATGTAAATAATAATTATGTTAACCCTTTTGGAGCCAAAAACCTGAGTGTTGGCTATACGTAACGAATCTAGGTCTATTGATAGGACAGTTGTAACTAATCATAACGATTTTAATACAATCCTAAATACATTGCAAACTAATGATAACAAATTTTTCTACGAATTTTTATTGTATAAAACAAAATACAGTGCAACTTCTCTATAATGAACGGCCAGTTGCACGACAAAAGTGTTCATTATGGGGAGGGTTCATCCAAGGGAAGTTCGAGTAACATGTCTTATTTTTGAGTAATATTTCAAAATTTTTATAAATAATAGCAATTATTGAAAATAATCAGTAATTTTAGTTTGTTTAGCTGTATTTAAAAAATAATTAAATGTTATAATCTTAATTTTGTTCAATTGTTCAAACATTTGATCATCGGATGCCTCTTTGGATATAAAATAGGACTATAAAATGCAATATTGAATAAAACTATGAATGAAAATGTGTTATTTGTTTGCTTAAAGTCTTAGATTAGAAACTATTTTGAATACTTTTAGGAATAATGTGCCTACTATTATATTTGTTCATTATTGGGAGTGGAAATTTTATCTTAATCTCTATAAATCCGTTCATAATGGGGAGGTATTCATTATGGAGAAGTTCACCCAAGAGAGGTTATTTTAACATTATAAATATAGGAAATCCAACGTATATTTCAAATCCGTTCATTATGAGGAGTAGGGTTACCAGATGTCCATTTTTGTAATGGATTGTCCATTTTTGGGCTGCTTTGTCCCTTGTACTTGCAGTACCAGAAATGGACATTATTAAATCAATTTTTATCAATACAAGTTTTCAAATATTTTAGATATTAAATCTCATGGAATATGTCATGTGTCCATTTTTGTCCATTTTTCCAGATCTATATTTTATAAAAATCCATTTTTGCTGTAAAATGATCTGGTAAGTCTAATGAGGAGGTGTTCATCCAAGAGAAGTTCACCCAAGAGAAGTTGCACTGTAATAGTATTTTATAGTAGTAAAAGGTATTTAAATACAATAAAGTGTAATGTGTTTATACCAATAGATAGCACATAGATCTACTACTTATTACATAAATGTTCAAAAAAATAGATAATAAAACATAGCAATACTTTTAGATAACAAATAAAAGTTTTATAAAAAACAGGAAAGTGTGTGTTTATGGGGTGGGAAAGGGATTATAGTATTGATAATTATGGTATTAATTTATTGTAACTTAGATATTGTAATTTTAATTATAAACATTTAATTACAAAAAAATATCAGATGAAAATAGCATTATAAATACATTATGTTTTGTGTTATAAAAATAAAACAATAAAAAATATGTTCAATAGTATATAGAGTAAAATTGCAATTATCTGTTGAATTCATTATATTCTAGTTCATTATATTGAATCATCATTGATAACACTACGATAAATATATGTATAATAAAAATACACAATATATGCCGTGAAAAGCAATGGGAATATCACAGCGCAAAACAAATCTATTTTACGGCCAAATGTACTATTCCTCCACTTTTCCCGACAATTGTCGTAACATTCCTTTGTTTCCAACGTTTTCTGAGAGAGAGAGAGAGAGAGAGAGAGAGAGAGAGAGAGAGATTAGTAAAGTCACCAAGAACAAACAACGACTTACCAATGCGACATTGTCTCCAAAATGTCCATGATTGTTTGAGTTTTTGTTACAATTATAATCAATGGCCTTAACGATTGCAAACTCGATAATAGCGGCAACGATGAAGTTTGTGCACCACATAAACCACCAGTCCTTTGCTATAAAGTACGACACTTTTGCTTCGGACCACATATTGATCACAACAATATGGGTGTAAAGCATCAACAATACGGCCACTAAAAACTTAATTCGTGATGAATTACTTGATTTCATTAAAAATGACAAAAACGATATAAATGTAAGCATCGCTGTCGTGACGAACCACTGGAACAAATACTTGACAGTAATTCTTGTAAACTTTAAATCCACTTTTAGACAAGAATATTCTCCTAACAAATGTCCAAATTATGTATGTTTTGTAAATGTTATGTTTTTTAATGTTTAAAAATAATATATTAATCAGACCTGTGATTGTTCTGGATGTACAATACTCGGTAAAATATTTTTCAAGTTTAAATTCATTTAGATTCAATCTCTTGGTAACTTGTACAGGGTCGCCTTCTTTCCAAAGCAGTACCATATCATCGGTCGTATAGCTCCCTACCATGGTATATTATAAATATAAATTTTTCAAATTAAATAAAAGTTTGTGGTTTATATTTGTGGTTAAATACTACATTAGATTAAATTTTCATACTTGATTTATACAATTTAAATTGTTCGGCAAATATGATAAAATTTTAAACAAACTTATATACTACTAAAATACAACTTACAACTGGCCATTTGTATGGAACATATCTGTCTATCGAATGGAAAATATTTGAGATCCATTGGACAGGCGAGGGTTGCGGTCATACGTTTGGAAAACAACACATTCCCGTTGGGATATATGCGGAACAATAAGTTTGGTCTGATATCAGTGTGCGATAGAGTGAACCGGGAGTTGGAGAAGAAGGTGTCGGGTATCCATATTCTGTTGGGATCGTCGAGCACTAGGTATTTAATTTGTCCCTTCATGTCGTCAAACTTGAGCCTATCATCAGTCCATTGCTGTCTAAAAGTCATTTGTATTTTATACTCCATTTTATCGACGCTAATGTATTCAATGCCCCGAATATACATATTTGTCCGAACGATCACCGGTTCAGTACTTCTGGTCGTTTCGTTGTAATGTCGGGCAACTATTCTCAGGTCATATTTGCTTTGATCCAATACTTTATCCAATATATCTTTCTCTGTCTTATAGATATCTCTTTACAATATAAAAGTATTAAGTAAATTGTAAATTTAAAAATAACATAAGTTAATTTATAAAATATAACTTTAAAACAATTAAAATAATATAACTAGAATTTTTTTTAATAAACATTTAATGAATTGATTGGCATTAATGTTAATTAATTCAATTATGTAAAAATAGTTAAAAATTAAGTAATTATATTATTAATAAAACATAAGATGTATAAAAACCTCACCCAAAGATTTGCGTAACAATTATGGAAAACACTATGAATTTCAAAGTGTTCTGCATTTTAATCATATATTTGAAAGTATTTTAAATCATAAACTAATTGAATGTAAAGCTTATGTAAATGCAAAGTCTTAAATAGTATCAAAATCAATTGCTTTAACCTTCAAATATTATAATTCTTAGTAATTATTCTATTGAAACATCACTTATTCTTTACAAACTGAATGAAAGGATTGATATAAATGATGATCATATTATGAAATATACATTTTTCAAGGATTTTTAAGTGTATATTTTTAAGGTTAATTTGTTTTTATTAGGATATGTGTTTAATTATCAATAATAACAAATTATTTAACACAAACTGCAAACAAATTACCATCATTTTCATGCAATCAAAATTTGGACTGTTTTTTATTGTCAAATGTATAAATTATTGATAAACATAATAAGTGAATTCATTAATAAATGCAGTTTATTTGAACATAATTGTTTGAATGTACAAATTGATTAACTAGTAAATAGATTATTTAATTTGTGTGGGTTGTTAAATAAATATAAAGAGGCACTAATATTAAAACACTATAGTTATTATCATGTATTGTATGAAATTCTTTTCATAAAACCGGTGTTTCCAACAGTTTTATCTGATTATTACAATTATTATCAATAAATTTATTTGAAGTATTATAGCATATAAGTAAAAACTTATATACAATTAAATACATTTATGGTCTTGTTTAAGGTCTAGAAAAACTATTTTCATTTACTGCCAACAAGCACTTTTAAAATTCATTCTTGTATTTATTAATTTTAATTTTAATTACAATAATAGTTTAATAATAGATTTGCTTATAATTAAATATAAAATGTCATATTTTATACTAAACTCAGAATACGTGGTAAAGTATAACCACTCATCGCTTTCATGCGATGATCAGTGCATTCAAACAGAGTTCTGTTCCCAAAGTCTTCGTTCACTCCTGAGTGACAAATACACTGTCTTTGAGAGACAATCACCGGCGGAACCGATGGCCGAGTATTTCATATCGTGTGAAATATTCAAAGAACTCTTGCAATGCCTTCAATATCTTCACGAATTGAATCCACCGGTCATTCATCGAAATCTCAAAACCAGATGAACGCCAATCGGTTCGTAAAACTGTGTGACTTTGGTTTGGCCACCGATAGACACACTGCCGGCCGATACGAGCACTCAGTTGTCGATTTGTGGTCAACCATATAATCACAAATCAGACATTTATAGCCTCTATGCAATCGGCGGTGAGTTGTTTGATATCGATCTTCAGACGTAAGTATGATTTTTAGTAATTAAATGTTAATTATAATAAAAATTATTTTTTGTTATTGTATTTATTTTAATAATAGTATAACGAGTGGTCTATCAATAAGACTGTTAGCACCAGTGGTCGAGTACTACAGGACTATAACCAGTGGTCAGTCGATAAACAAATAATGACATCAAACGATATTCAGTGAAATACTAAATACACTTAAATCTAATGAAAACACATTTTTCTACAAGTTTTTAAATTGTAAATTAAATATCTATAAGATTAAGTGTATTGGTTTTCATGGAAAGCGTTAGCAACTTTATTGTAGGTAAGAAACTAGATAAAATATGTTTTACAAATTATTTATTAATCAATGCCTTAATCATATACACAGATACATAGTTATTGATGATCCGAAACTTGTGCTATAAGTTTGCCAATAGATGGCCAGATATTTACCACTTTTTACATAGTTTTATATTAAATATACTGTAATCTGAGGGTTTGGATGTCTGGCCATCTGTGGTAATAACAGTCACCGCCGATAATAATGCCTAATATTATATTATAATCTTATTTAAAAATAATCTAGCATGTTGTAATACATATTTAAAATAAATATTATTGAATTCTGTAAAATTTACAGTGTAAATTAATTAAAATAAATATAAATTGTGAAATTAAATAAAAATCCTGTTTTATCTATTGCTTGTCTTTGATATTTTAAAATCCAACCCAGATAGATAAAATTTTAGATATATTTTAAAAGTTTTTATGATTAATTGTATAATTTACGTAAACCATCTATGTTTAAATTATAATTTTTAACGTTTTATATTTATTTAAAATGTTAAATTATTTGCCAAATTGCCAAGCATTAAGTTACCAGGCTTTTCAAAAAATTAAATTAATGTTGATATAACTCTGTCGACATTTTTTCACTTAAATTTTTTGGCATTTAGTAAATTTTTTGAATAAAAAGAAATTCCTAATAATTCTTATTTAACACATATTTTTAATTAATGGATTCACAAGAATAAATGTGTTATATTATATATGTAGATGAATTTATGATTAATTACAGATGATGTATTTTTATTGTTAGGTTATATTTAAATATCCTGTTGTAATTAATATTAAGAATATATTTGATTATTAATTACATTAAGACTATTTTATGTTTAACTATTTATTATAACACCCACATTATAAACACACATAAAATCCCACATTTCAATCTCTCTCTCTCTCTCTCTCTACCCCAGGCATACACCCGGCCATCACCGGTGAGGGCCAGCGTGTG